TACTGGTCCGTACTGGTCCGTACTGGTCTGTACTGGTCCATACTGGTCCGTACTGGTCCATACCGGTCCGTACTGGTCTGTACTGGTCCGTACTGGTTTATACTGGTTTATACTGGTCCGTACTGGCCGGAGGCGCTCTGTTCCAGCCTGGCCGGTTCCCTCTCCACCCGCGCCGTGCTCGAGGCCGTCGGGGTCGGCGACGGCGCCGCCACCGTCACCGGAGCCGCGCTCACCTGGCTGCTGCGAGGTGCGCCCCGAATCCCGGGAATTCCGGCCCAAATCCCGGGAATTCCATCCCCAAAATCCCGGGAATTCTGCCCCCAAAATTCCCGTCTTTTCCCTCAGATGGAGTCGGGATCATCACCAGGATCGTCTTTGTGTGGCTGCAGGGGTGGGTGAGACTGGGATGGACTGGGACGGACTGGGATGGACTGGGATGGACTGGGACGGACTGGGATGGACTGGGAGGGACTGGGAGGGACTGGGATGGACTGGGACAAACTGGGACAAACTGGGACAAACTGGGATGGAACTGGGAGGGAACTGGGAGCACTGGGAGGCCCCTGCTGGTCCACACCAGTCCGTACTGGTCCGAACTGGTCCTTACTGGTCCGAACTGGTTTCCTCCCCCAGGAGCCACCTGGACTGCGAGGCCAAGCAATGGCGGTGAGGCCCCGCCCCCTTCCCAAATATGGCCATTCCCCAAGCCACGCCCCCACATTTACCATGTGCCCCACCCCTTTTCCCATATATGGGCATGAACTGCCCTCTTTCCAAGCCCCGCCCTCTTTACCATATATGGCCACTCCCACCTAAGCCCCGCCCCTTTTCCCATATATGGCTCTGACTCCCCAGGCTCCGCCTCTCCCTTGCCTCATATGGGCAGGGCACGCCCACAGCTCCATATAAGGGCATGCCCCGCCCCCAGGTTCCTGGCGGATCTGCTCAATGACGTCGCCCTGGTGCTGGAAATCCTCGCTCCCCATTGGCTGAGCCTTGGCCCCGCCCTCCTGCTCATGGCGGCCGCGGCCAGGGTGGGAACTGGGATAAACTGGGATAAACTGGGAGGGGCGTGGTTTATCCCGTTTATTCTGCTCTAAACCGGTTTAAACCGGTTTCTCTGGGTCCCTGCTGGTTCCTACTGGTTCATACTGGTTTTTACTGGTCCCAGTGCGTGGTGGGCGTGGCCGGAAGCGCCACCAGGGCGGCCCTGGCCGTGCACCAGGCCCGGAGGGACAACGTGGCCGACGTGGCCGCCAAGGACAGCAGCCAGGTGGGCGTGGCCGGTCCGGACTGGTTTGTACTGGTCTGGACTGGTCCGTACTGGTTTTTACTGGTCCGTACCGGTTTATACCGGTCCGTACTGGTTTTTACTGGTCCGTACCGGTTTTTACTGGTCTGGACCGGTCCGTACTGGTTTTTACTGGTCCGTACCGGTTTTTACTGGTCTGGACCGGTCCGTACTGGTTTTTACTGGTCCATACTGGTTTATACCGGTCCGTACTGGTTTTTACTGGTTTTTACTGGTCTGTACCGGTTTTTACTGGTCTGGACCGGTCCGTACTGGCTTATACCGGTCCGTACTGGTTTTTACTGGTTTTTACTGGTCCGTACCGGTTTTTACTGGTCTGGACCAGTCCGTACTGGTTTTTACTGGTCCATACCGGTTTATACCGGTCCGTGCTGGTTTATACTGGTTTTTACTGGTCTGAACTGGGCAGGAGACGCTGGTGAACGGGGCGGGGCTGCTGCTGTCGCTGCTGCTGCTCCCCGTGCTGGACGGGCGGCCATGGTGAGGGGCGGGGCCTGAGGGGGCGGGGCCTGAGGGGGAGAAATGGGTTATGGATAAAGGGGCGTGGCAAAAGTGGGAGGAGATGAAAGGGGTGGGGTTAAATTTTGGGTGGGGCCTTGTTGGGGGTGTGGCTTTGGGGAAGGGGGCGTGGCTTAAACGCGGTTCCGTTAAAGGGGTGGGGCTTTAACGGTTGGGAAAAGGGGAGGGGCCTTAAAGGGAGGGGCTTGCAGTGGTTGAATGGGAGGGGCTTAAAGGGATTTTGGGTGGGGGAGGGGCTTAAAGAGGGAGGGGTCTGGGGAAAGGGGGAGGA